ACTCCAGAAGATGGTAGAGGACAGGAAGGCCTGGAGGAGATCAACCCCGACTGCTCTTTGGAAGGCCAGGTCCTGAAGTTGAGACTCAAGTACTTTGGCCACCTGATGAGAAGGAAGGACTCCCTGGAGAAGAGCCTGATGCTGGGAAAGATGGAGGGCAAGAGAAGAAGGGGACGACAGAGAAGGAGGTGGCTGGATGGAGTCCCTGAAGCAGGAGGCAGGAGCTTCAATGGACTCCAGAAGATGGTAGAGGACAGGAAGGCCTGGAGGAACGTTGTCCATGGGGTTGCGATGGGTCGGACATGACTTCGCAACTAACAACAACAATGCTTCAATAGATCACGTTTTTTTCACAAGTACATTGAGTGAAAAGATCCATCTTTTGGTCTTGTTGCTAACTGAACAACTGCAGGGATTCAGTGAACAGCCGTGGCAAGAAAAGCCGTAAAATGGGGCAAAACTCACTCTAACAAATGTCTCACACTTAGCAACGGAAATTTTGGGCTCAGTTGTGGCGGTAAATCAAGGAGTATCTGTACAACTAGTGAAAGTGGGGAACTCTCATCCCTTGGCATGTCTGAAATTCTCATTTTGAAGAGTTACTTCTTTAGCCCTGATTTCCATTTTATTGCTTATTAGACTGTAAGGATGAGCTTTCCTTGAAGTTCTTTCTTTCTTTCTTTCTTTCTTTCTTTCTTTCTTTCTTTCTTTCTTTCTTTCCCCTCCTTCCTCAGTTTTTCTCCTTTCCTCCATTCCTTCTTTTCTTTCCTTCCTCCCTCCCTTCCTCCCTTCCTCCCTTCCTTTCTTTCCTTCCTTCCTTCCTTCCTCTGTTTTCCTTCCTTCCTTCCTTCCTTCCTCTGTTTTCCTTTCTTTCTTTCTTTCTTTCTTTCTTTTTTCTTTCTTTCTCTTCCTTCCTTTCTTCTCTCTCCTTCCTTCCTCCCTTCCTCCCTCCTTCCTTCCTGCTATCCTCTCTCCATCCCTTTCCCATCAACTTTCTTCCTTCCTCCTTTCCTCCATTCCTCCTTTTCTTTTCCGTCCTCCCTCCCTCCCTTCCTTCTTTCCACTGTTTTTCTTTCTTTCTCTTCCTTCCTTCCTTTCTTTCTTCTCTCTCCTTCCTTCCTCCCTTCCTCCCTCCCTCCTTCCTTCCTTCCTGCTCCCGTCCCTCCCTCTCTCCCTTTCCCCTCACCTTCCTTCCTTCCTTCCTTCCTTCCTTCCTTCCTTCCTTCCTTCCTTCCTTCCTTCCTTCCTTCCTTCCTTCCTTCCTTCCTTCCGTCCAATTCCCAGGGCTATATAGTCTGAGCTGGGCAGCCAAGTAAACATTTTATATAAGCAAATAAAACCAACGTGTCTTTGGTCTACAAGATTACAGATATATGTTATTATTGAGTGCCCAAAGCCTGGCCATTTTTCATGGCAACAATGACGATGTTCCTTAATAACTTCATTTGTCATCGTGATCTTGACATTCATTTCATTGGCTAAAGGTGTAGCCTTACATTTTGCCTGCACAGAGCCTATCAAAATGATTAGATTTAGATCTCCCCTTTCATTGTTCTGACTTCTTCCTCTTGGCTGTAGCCTTGAGGAATTTCTGGTGGGTTGCATCTATTACGGCAAAGAGGTAAAATTTATTAGTTTATCTGTCAGATTTAGAGACCGCCTGGCTCCTTCGCAGAGTGACTATGTGAAATTTGCACTACATAAGTTATAATTCACAAACAAAAAAAAAAGTTGTCTGCTTAGGCAGTGCATTGTGATGTATAATGCATAACGACTTAACCTGTATAGCTTAATAACATGTTTGCCTTCATTTGACAGACTTTTGTGTCTTTTGTAGATACCCAGTGGTAGACCTTAAAGTTTTCATTTTGATTTTATTTCTTTTTGGGGTTGTGTGTGATCTTTACTCTGAGCCCATGATTAAATTGCAACAATGTCTTTTTTCCTTCCTTCCTTCCTTCCTTCCTTCCTTCCTTCCTTCCTTCCTTCCTTCCTTCCTTCCTTCCTTCTTCCTTCCTTCCTCTTCCCTCCCCTTTCTTTCTTTCTTTCTTTCTTTCTTTCTTTCTTTCTTTCTTTCTCTCTCTCTTTCTCTCTCTCTTTCTCTTTCTTTCTTTCTTTTCTTCCATTGTTTTCCTTTAATCTCCTTCCTTCCTTCTCCCCTCTTCCCTCCCTCCTTTCTTTCTTTCTTTCTTTCTTTCTTTCTTTCTTTCTTTCTTTCTTTCTTTCTTTCTTTTTTTCTTTCTTTCTCTCTCTCTCTGCCTCCTTCCCTCTTTCTTTCTTTCTTTCTTTCTTCTTTCTTTCTTTCTTTCTTTCTCTCTCTCTCTCTTTCTCTTTCTTTCTTTCTTTTCTTCCATTGTTTTCCTTTCATCTCCTTCCTTCCTTCTCCCCTCTTCCCTCCCTCCCTCCTTTCTTTCTTTCTTTCTTTTTTTCTTTCTTTCTCTCTCTCTCTGCCTCCTTCCCTCTTTCTTTCTTTCTTTCTTTCTTCTTTCTTTCTCTCTCTTTCCTTCCCTCTCCTTCCCTCCCTCCCTCCCTCCCTCCCTCCCTTCTCTCTCTCTCTCTCTCTCTCTCTCTCTCTCTCTCTCTTTCTCTTTTCTTCCATCATTTTCCTTTCCTCTCCTTCCTTCCTTCCTTTCAATTTCTTTTCCTTTTCTTTTACAGCCCTCCAAACAACACCATTCAATTACCTCTGTGTGGATTTATCTGACATTTGTACGGCAGCGTCTTTCCCCCCTGTCTTAAAAGTATGACTAGGCCATTACATGCTGAAGTAAGTGATGTTTAATGAATGATTTGTAATTAGTTTTAAATTAAAGCTTTCTCGCTGCAATTGTGGAAGGTATAAGTAGCCCATAGATCTCATTAAGCACTCAAATCAAGCCGGATTTTTCTTAAACAATGCGTTCTATTATGGTGCTTTAAATAATGATTGGTGTCAATCTAAGTCAAGACGATTGATGATTCTTTTGCATTTGCACTTGCAGGAGTGCATTTATAGGTGCAGGGTCTCAAAAGGAAAGAAATTCCTGGTCGATTATCTCCATTTCAGGGCTGACCCATTTGGGTAGCTCTTGGGAAGCAAGGGTTATTTTTCTGGTGCGAATTATGGAGGCGTCAAATCTGGTTTGTAGCCGCAGATAAAAGGTAGCCTCGTTTGACAGTTGGCGCCATCCCACCGACCGTGACCTGGAAGTGAAAAACATGGAAATGTCAGCAAAAGAGCAAATGAAAAACTAGAATTGGAACGGCTGGCCTCCAGAAGTTGTGGGTGCTCCATCCCTGGAGGTTTTCAAGAAAAGATTGTAATGGGATAGGGTCCCCTGCTTGGGCAGGGGGTTGGACTAGAAGACCTCCAAGGGCCCTTTCCACTTTGCTATTCTTTATAAGGCTGTTTTAAGAGAGAGATGAAACAAGTCCTGACCCCCTGAGGGGGTCCTTGGTCTCTCTGAACTTGTTTGTTTTCTTGCAGATATTTCATTACCTAAACTAGGTGACATTATCAGTGCTAGGAGAGAGGGAGAGTTTGTGGAGAGGAGGAGGAGAAAGAGGAGGAGGAGGAGGAGGAGGAGGAAGAAGAAGAAGAAGAAGAAGAAGAAGAAGAAGAAGAAGAAGAAGAAGAAGAAGAAGAAGAAGA